AAGACTTAGAATTACTCATTCTCACCCTCTCTGTATTGCTATTTTTGCCTACGGGGTTTTGTTGGTACTTTTTCATATGCTAAAGAGGGGGGATAATCTACATTTCTCCTTTTCCTTTTTGAATTAATGATTATTCAGTCACTGAAGTTGGTTAGTACAGAAATAAGGGAAGATAAACTCGTTTGAAGAGAAAGTTAGTAGACTGGTACTTAATGTGATACAGGTTAATGCACTGGACTATCCCAGCTGGCTTTTTTTTCAAGCTTGGTGGTAAACAAAGTACCAGTATTTTGCAACCGCTTCACTTATAAAGATTTTTGGAAGAGGCCGTACCTTTCAAGGCTAATTTGAACGTTGGAAATAAAATTTGGCGTAGCTTTCATTTTTTTGCCCTCTCTGCGATTACTGTGAGCTCTTAGCGACGGCTCTCGCAAAAGCGTCCCTTTTCACCCACTCACTTCCCCACGCAGCCCGGTGCCGGAGCGAAGGGTTGCGGGGCGGGCGGCACAGAGGGCGGGGCCGGCGGTGGCGGGCGGGCAGGGAGGGAGGCGGCGGCGGCCGCCCGGGGCTTTTCGCTGCTCGCTGCCTTGTCGCTGCCATGGCTTCGCTGCGCTCCGGCCCGGCCTGGTGCCGCCTGCTCGCCTGGGCCGCGCTCGGCCCCGTGCTTTGCGGAGGGTCGGTGCGGGCCGAGCCGGAGCCGGAGGCGGACCCGCACGCGCGGCACCTCTACAGCGCCGAGATGCTGAGGCACGGCGCCGCCGCCGCCCCGCACTTCGTCATGTTCTTCGCCCCGTGGTGGGTATCGGAGCGCCGGGAGGGCCGGCACGGCTCGGCTCGGCCTGGCCTGGCCCTGCGCGGCGTCTCCCAGCCCGCCTCTTCCCCCGTTGACGTGGCGCCGGGAGGCGGCCGGGCCGGGGAGGCCTTGGGGTCGCTCCATGCGCCTTCCGCCGGGCGAGGGGCGGCACACGTGGTGAATGGCGGCAGCGGAGGGCCGGGCCGAGAACGGGGTGAAGCCTGGTGCGAATCGCCGCGCCCGGACCGGGACCTCCGGCCCTAAAATGGGACCCTCCGCCGAGGGGAGGCAGCTGGGGTGGGCTGGGCTGGATGGGGATGGCGCGGAGCAGCCCTGTCACGGCGGTGGGACGGGGAGCCCGTGCGGGGAGCCTGCAGCAGCTTTGCACGCAGACCGAGGGCTTTCGTTGTACTAACGAAACGGAGACTTTGCTGACTTCCATGCCCCCGCGTCCCCGGCCTTGTAGATACTTTCTTGAAGAAGTTTAGTCCTCTTTACTGCTGCAGATGTGAGGATGAGTTTGCTGCGAAAGTAATATAAATGAAAGCTTCCAAGCAGTATAAACGGAAGTCCCTCAGGCTGCAGGTAATAGTGGCAGAGCTGGGGAGCTACCGTATCTGCAAGATATTCACTAGGTTCTCGTTCTAGACTGGCACGTTGGACACGAGAATAGTCAGAGCCTAAGAACAGGACTTGGATGGGCATTACAGCAGTCAGTGGGACAGTAGTTCTCATCTCTGGGCCTCTGCAGTGGTTGTTCTTGTTCTCCTTTTCTGCTTCACTCTCTCCTTTTTTTTTTGTCCATCCCAGTAGTGTTATTACAGGTTTTGTTGTCAGGGTTGCTTCTTTTCCTCCCCAAGTTTTCTTAGGTTGAGATAATGGAATGATGTCTTAGCTTTGGACCGAAATGTGCCTACTGCAAACTTTTGGTACCTGGTGCCACTGAGGCGCACGTATGTCATGATACTCTTTGAAATCAAAGCTAGAGAAGTATTTCCTTTAAGAAATGAATTTTTTTTTTTTGTTACTGCCATCAACTTGTTTATGACATAGAGAAGTTAAGTAAAAGCTTGAAAGAGCCTGAAATTTTCCTTTGCTCACTGAAAGTTACAAAACGGAGGAAGCCCAACTTGCTGGTGAAGGATCTTTGAAAGTAAGAAATTCCTATGCAGAACAGGAGTGCTCAGGAGGTAATGTTTGCGTTCAAGCTTCAACTGACTGTTTCACAGGCATCTCTGAAGCCATATGGGCTTTCGTCTAGGATCACAGTTGTAGGAGACCCTGTGCCAAGAAGGCCATTGCAGAGTCCGGCATATGTTTCACATCCTCACTGTGCATCAGAGAGAGCTCTGGCCTTGCAAACTTGGACCACTCTGTGCCCTTGGGAGGGTTGCAGATTTCTGCCCAGCATGCATGTGAGGAAGCTGTGTCCTTTCCCACATTTGCTCCAGCTTCTCTGAACATTACTCTCATGCTTAACGTGCCTAATCCAAATTCCTGGGTCTCAACTCCAGGTCCTTGGTCTGGACTTCTGGCTCCTGACAGGCAGCAACAGGTCCAGGTTTTATGTTCAAGGGGAAGCGAGGGGAACAGATGCTGGAGAGAGATGCTTATATACACTAGTAGTTTTATCATTGGTAATGTCAGATGGCAGTCTAACAGCCCCAGAACAGACTGTGGACTCTTCTGTTAGAACCGACAGCCATACTGCTAGTTGGTTCCAATGTGCTAATCTCCTTGTGCTTCTCACTGATGCAGGCATTTTGACACTGGTCCATTTAGTTAGTGAAGGAGAAGCCTAGCAAATTCTACAACGTTCAGTTGAATTTTCTTTGGGATTGTTAGAGGTGCTGGTAATGTTAGATAATGAAGGCTGACAATGAGTTGAGATAAACAGGACCAACCTCTTCTGCAGAATTCTTCAAACAAACATTGCCATGGGCCTCCCTCTTCCTATTCTTATAGCAGCAGCATCAATAAGGTCTCACATTTGTTTTGAGTACTGTGGGCCAATACAAATAAATAAAATGAAAAGCACACCAGGTCATTTGCCATCAGATTTTTGATCATCAGCTTGTATTCCTTGGTATCTACACTTGAACAGGTTTGACTCTCAATGATACCAAATAGCTTAAGATTTTGGCCTAACCAGTTGTGTACCTACAGAAAATGGAAGTTTCCCCGATTCCTTAGTTGGAAGGACTCTCAGATGAGTAGTTTCATTGCCTTATTTTGACCACTGTGATCTTTCAGCATATTCTGGAAGTCAACCGAACTGAAGCATTAGCATGCTGGATTGCCAGAGTTTGTTGTGGTTGTATTGAAATCTTGACTGGAATTGATCTTGGCTGGACTCTCTTGTCCAGAGGGGGCTGGTCCTAAGATGCTTGTGCCTACTTAACCTAGGGTGTGTGGGTGTTTTTAAGTTAGGTGATGATTTGCATCATGTCTTGCTGTGGAGTTACCTTAGCTAAGTGCAGAACTGTGGATGTGCTGGTGACATCCAAAAATGTCTTTGTTCCTCACTAGCCAATCCTAGCCTAGGAAATCCACTGTCAGGTCTTCCAGGGGAGAAGCACTGATTGGTTAGAGTTCAGATGATCAACTTAGCTGCAGACTCTTACAAAAAAAAAAAGCTCTCTCCTTATGTCCTGATGTTAGTAGTGTACAAGAAGAAGGATTTTTGTTTTGTTTTGTTCTCAGCAATCTGAATCTTTTCTGTAGCATTTCTTTTGCGTATTGATTTATCTTTATAAACACAGATTATGCAGGAAAGGAAAGGCAGAGCTGCTTGTTGATAGCTCTCTACCATCCCTGCTGGCTGCTCTTCTCTTCCAGTCCCTCTGATATAAAATGGGGATGATAACAGTATGTGCATGGGACTAAGAAAGATGCATAATGTTATGCAGGCCTGCTGTCTTTGGTTTTGAATTCTCAGGTTTTATATAGTCTCCAGTTATATCTGAGGCATTCTAGAAGAAAGTATTTCGGGGACAGTCTTGCCTTTTACTTCTTTAAATATAAACTGAATTTTTATGAAAACAGAGAATGACTAACTAGTTTGTTTCTGATTCAGATATGAGCCTTTTTCTTGCTATATTTTCAATTTCAGCTCATATAATCTGAAGAAGGAAGGGAATGGTGAACTGTATAGAGCAAAGATCACGGTGTTAAATAGGAATAAGGTAGTTCTGTTGTGTACTTAAAAAAATATATATTAAAAAAAAAAAAAGTGTGAATTACTTGAGATTTCCTTTCACAGATGTCCATTCCCAGTTATTGAGCACCAGTCAGTGTTCACTGAGAATCCCAAGTCATCCTCTTGGAGCTCCATCCATGGAGAGTTGACAGTTTTCAGTCTGAAGTTAAATATTTAAGAATTATTTAAGTTTAGTAATACACATTGTATTCCTTCACCATTATAATTCAGAATGAGGTTATATTCCTCTACGTGGTGGGAATATATGCCCCCAGTATGACCAACTGCAACAGAATCTTATCAAGATTGAAAGATGGTGATGTTTTTTGTCTCAATGAACCAGAGAAGCTGGAAAGGTGTGAATCTGTGCAGATTTTCCGAGTGGGCTCAAAGCCAATTGTATGAGTGAAGTTGTTTTAAATGGAAGATCTGAAGGGAATAAGAAACAATTTCCCCTGACATCCTAATGCTGTTTTAAGTGTTAAAAAGTAGACCTTCTAGGTCATGTCAAGGGCAAAAACAGCTTTCATACTAGTTGAAAAGTTTTCTGGTTAATCCAGTTGTGTATTTCTAGATGCACTGAAAGATTGGCAAAAGCAGCCATTAAAGAGAAATGGAAATCCTTCTGGAAAGACTTCTTTCCTGCTGCTTAAAAGGCACGGTACTTTCAAATGTTGGAGAGTATAGAAAGCTGGTCAGCCTCGTGTGATTTTAATTCTAGGCAGCTGGGAAATGCAGACTGCTTTTCTTAATAGCATCTCTAGGTTCAGAAGGTGCTCAGTAGGCCTTCTCTTGATGGTTTTTACAAGGCATTTGCAGTGTTGTCACACGATACATGGTACTATTCACTGTTACTTACTGTAGCGGCGTTTGAGTATGGAAGATGTCCAACTTAGCTATTTTTAAATGTATCAGCATCTCTGATTATTTTGTGTATGGCTTTTCCAAGGATTCATTCCCTTCTAAAGAGAACAACTGTAAGGAAATATTTTGTTCATTCTGTTGCAGGTGTGGACATTGCCAGCGTCTCCAGCCAACTTGGAATGATCTGGGAGATAAATACAACAACATGGAAAACCCACAGGTCTATGTTGTTAAAGTGGATTGTACTACAGACACTCCTCTGTGCTCTGAATTTGGCGTCCGAGGATACCCTACGTAAGTATAGAAGGAGATCTGGTCCTGTGTCATTCTGTTTGAGTTTTCCATGATCTTCTGCCAACTTGTTGAAACTAATTTCTTAGCTCTGTGTTTTGGTAGTTTTCTCTGTAGCCCCGTGAATCTCTTATATTCCATTTAATCCTTTTTACTGTCTTGCCAAGTATGATGTGATATATGCTACTCTTGCTCTTCTTTCTTCCGAAGAAACTGTGTTATGTCTTGGAGATGAACTGTTCAAATAAAGTCCAGAATTATCCTCCTCTCTCTCATAGTACCCTGTTCTCAAGCACTTTCCACAGCCCATGCTTTTCAGTTTCCTTCCCTGGGCTCTCTTTGCCTGGTGCTACTGCTGACCTCAGCAACAGGCTGAACATGACATCCACCCATGGCTACATTTGCTTTGACTCTGATTAGAAGCTGAGAGTTATAAATAGCAAAGTCCTCATTGAAATAGGAATTGTCCTTAAGGGCAATCTGTGGCTTAGTTCCGCTAGAAATACCAAGAAACAATGAAGTTTGCAACTTTATTTTAGTATCCCCAGAAGCAAACGCTGGTTGCCTTTGTATGTTTGTATAGTTTATGTTGTGGCACGGTTCCTTACAAAAATAGAAAGAATAGCAGAGACTCTGAGTAAGGAAGAATTGAATGGTTATCTATTACCACCTTGGGATACGTAATATTACTTGCATTGTGTTGCTTTTCAGCACTTTCATATGTTCATTTCTTTACAACTTGTGAAATGAGAAGAGAAAGAAAAATATTAAAGAAGAATGAAAAACTGGTTGTTTTTTAAATCCCCTGTAAAAATTGATATGGGAATGAAAAAGAGTCCTAAGTTCTGGAAGTTACCCTTCAAGTTGAGGGAGGTGTGTGGTATTGAAATGAATTATTGGGAATAATCAAGAGAGCTGAATTGCTGTGAATTAATAAAGCGTCTCAACTTCCTTGGAATGTTTCACATGTGTGAATTTTTACCTCACTCTTTTCTGCATTTTAATCCTTTAGTTTAAAGCTGCTTAAACCAGGACAAGAGCCTCTGAAATACCAAGGCCCTAGAGACTTCCAGACGCTGGAAAACTGGATGTTGGAAAAACTAAATGGGGAACCATCTGTAAGTGGAAAGGGAATAGGAAAAGGAAATATTTCCTTCTGCAGACTTGCTGTTCTATCTATAGGTTAGGTTTCAGTCTCTGGCAGAAAATCTGCTCCTGAGAATAAAAGTCAAGTGAGAAAACGATGTGGAGCAGCTTCCACATAAGTTAGAATAATAATAAAATCTGATATCCTATGAGCTACATTTTGTGCCTGTATTTAAAACTACAGGAAGTACATAGTGCAGTTTTTAATGTTTAGCGTTTTGATATTTGAAGATTGAATTCTTTATGTCAATTCATTTAGCACCTTCAGGCTATAATATCTCTGGAGTAAGAAAAGTGACTTGTCTATAATAGAGGATAAATTGCATAATTTCCTCTTAACAATGTGGGATGCTATCTTTAGCTTGATTATTAGCTGATAATGCTGTAGTCTACAGGAAGGGATTAAACTAATTGGTTAAATAAGTTAAACTAATATCATCTCTAGGAGAACCGTTGAGTTAGCACTTACATATATTAGACAAGCCTTGCCTAAAACTGAATTTTTAATTGCTGTTGCTAATCAAGATATAACTACATGCTGAGCACAATTAGAAAATGATTATGCACAAACAGTGATCTTTTTAATAAGTTTACATTAAATGCTTAACTCATTCATGAAATGTACTTCCCTCTTGAATAGGATTCAGAATCTACTGTGGAACCACCAAAAGCCCCTGAACCTAAGCAGGGAATGTATGAACTCTCAGCAGACAATTTCAAGACGCACATAGCAGAAGGTAACCTCTTTCATAAGCACGAGAGACTTGTTTACAGAGACCTGCCTAGTGGGAAGTGGGAAGCAGAAATATTGGTTCTTAACGTGCCTCCTTCCCAGTTAATTTTCCAGTAATGCCTCAGTAAAGAGGATGAACCTACATGCTGGGTAAAAATGCTGTAGTTTATTTACATACACTTTGCACGCCAGTAGAAAGCATAAGAACAGCACTCCAACCAGAAGACAGTAGAGTTAAGGCCAGATTAAATTAACTGCTCATGCCCATGTGATAACGTGAATGAAACAGACATTAAAGCTTCCTGAAGAAACCAATTAATTAATTAGAATCATATAAAATGTAAAGAAGGATTTTCTGCAGCAAATTTCCCTGTACGTGTGCCTTATCAGAGAATTACGTGGAAATTACAGTAGATTCTTCATTCAGCCATCAGGGAAACACAAACCGTTAAACAGTTTGAGAAGATTCTGTCAGTTGTTTAGTGCATGCATGAATGTTTTAATATGTGTCCATTGGCTTTCATATATGATTGGAGGAGGTATTCTCACGGTGATACCTGATAGTCGAGCAGCTTTATGATCATCTGTAAAGCTGTTGTCCTCTCTTGACTTCAACAGTGCTTAAATTTAGCTGAAGGCTTAGGAGTTCCGCTTGGAAGGTTGACTTTGGTTCTTAAAAACAGTTTCTGTCTACCTTTTCTGTGCTCTGGGGCTAGAAGATACATTTATTTTCTTTCAATCAGAAGAGAGTATCACAGAGTAAATGAGACAGAATAGCTACTGTGTGTTCTTAATTAATTCATGAGAAATTTCAGTATTGTCTTTACTTGATCAAAGCAGAGCTAGTCAATCATTTTTGAAGGTATTCCTGGTACACAGTAGGCAAGTTAAGACTAAAGTACTTTTGCAGTTTACATTTCCTAGTGATTTTTGTGGTATCTCTTGCCTGACCTTCTTCTGTGAACAACCCCCTGAACCAGAAATTCTAGCCCCCACAGTGGTTCTCAAAGGATTGTAATTCTGTTAAAGTTTTCCCACAATCACTGTTTTTTTCCTTCAAACTGTTTTTTTTTTTTGTCTGTTTTGTTTTTGGTTTCATTAAATTCATTTTTATTTTGTATTAAGAGAGCATTGCTTTGATGTGTGCAAAAGCAGGCAGCAACTTGAATTAATAGTAATTCTAATGAAAGGATATCACATATTCTGGTAATCTGCAAGTAGGATAATAATTTTAAACAATATATTAGCGTGAGGCAGCAGAGAGACTCTCCTCTCTGTAAAATGCCATGAAATTCTACAAAAGCAGCAGTTTTTGCAAGGTAGAAACAGAGAGAATTGTAAGATGAAGAAAATTATTTAGGCAGCTCTTGGACACAGAGCAGTGGTGTTTGCCTAGAAATTTGTACGTTGAAATCTAATTTGTACTTTGCTTTATGCTGTTACAAACACACATGCCTTGGTTCTTTCTACTGTGTAATAGGGCAAGGGATTGACATAGTAGAATTAGATATTCTAGAAAACTGTTAGGTTTAGTAGTAGTTCTAATACTTCATTTGTTGGCTTGAGTCTGTAAAGCTGCTTGGATCTTCAGGGAAATTGGCAACACTGAGGGACTGCATACAGTTTTGAAAACCTAATTGCTGAAATATTCTGCCCTGGCTTTTCATTCACAGTGTTTCCTATCTTTAACCCAGGAAATACCATGATAAATTTGCAGACAGAGATTAATGCCTAGCCTTTAATGGCAGCCAAATTAATTCCAAAAGAGTTAAATCTTTTTCTTTGACTTCAAAGGTAATCACTTCATCAAATTCTTTGCCCCTTGGTGTGGTCACTGCAAGGCTTTGGCCCCAACTTGGGAACAGCTGGCTCTGGCCTTTGAACATTCAGAAACTGTAAAGATTGGCAAGGTAGGTGACGTACTCTTTTCTTAATTTGCAGATGTTTTTGCATACAGATGTTTCAATCAACTGCCGTGCTGTTCATTCTGTGATTTGCAAATAATAGCTTTTAAATCTCTTCACATTCATAGTTCCTGTTTTAATTTTATGATGGTTATTTTCTTCTCACACATTCAGTATTCTACTTTATGTTGGAAGAGATGGTTGTTTAGTTACAATTAACAGGACTCCCTCATTTTAAACAAGAACTTGTTAGAAACATTGCATACTCCTTCCTGTGTTTCAGAGAGACTTGGGAATAAGTCTAAATACTTTTTAAATTTTTGCTGTTTATTCCCATTGAGCTTTCTAAAGTTTTCAGGGGGTCTCCCACCCTAAAAACTGATACCTTGTCCTGCTTTACTATTTCTCTTAGGGATGATAACCAGATTCTGTGGTGTATTTACCATGGGAGCTTGATATTTGTACATGGAGTGACTTCTGTGCAGAGGTATGCAGGTGGTCTGGCAATTCTAGTTACTGGCTTTATTTGCTGACCCATACCTAAGTTCAGGTCGCTAATGATGTGAACCTCCCTGTATTTGTCACTAGTGGAAAGCTGACAGGGCTCAATTTTCATATCCTTAAGCTTTCAGATAGGTTCACTGGTCTGAAAGCTTCCATGACACTTAGCAGTGCTATCTGTCCTGCAGAGAGACAAGAAACCAGCAGTCTATGTCTCTGCTCTCATAGTATTTTCAGCTGTTACTAGGGGTGATGAACTTGACTTTTTTTTCCCTGTGAAATGCTTTGATAATTGCTAATTCAGATATGCCACAGATGCAGAGAGCAGATCAGCATGGTTAAACTCTAGAGGAGACATGTATCTACTGTTGAGACCAGGTTGATATAAAATACACTCCCCTCTGAGACTAAAGTATCAGAAACTAATGTTGCTTTGATACCCATTGCACCAAATTTGTAAATGCTGATTAACTTTTGAAGAATGTGGAGTGCCTGATAAAATCATTGCTTAGCTTCAATATCTTCTTGAAGTTACCAGTCTGTTATCCAGAGGAATATAAACCAAAAATTTTCAGAAGCCATGTTCAATTGTCTGTTGTGTTCACAGTTGTCCCTGTTGCTGATATTTGCTCTCTAATAAAGCCACTGAGATTTGTCTTGATGTTTAGTCAGTTTTGGTTAACTGTATACATTATGAAGCTATTTTAAATGTGTTGGCTAAGATATTAGGTCTGTAATTAAACAGGAAATACAGCTGTTTCTAAGAAGGTTCAACCATGACCTTTGTGTAATCTGGGGAAATAGTGTCTTAGCAGCAATGCTATCTCTGGCATGGTTGTGTTTAATGTTTAGAACTGATCTTCAGGGATCTGGGTCAAAGTATTTCTAGTGTAAAATTCAAAATCCAAGTGTAGAGCAAAGACTTAAGTGCCTAAGTTATCTGTTTGCTTTGGGAAAGATTATGAGCAGGTAACTTTATAGATTGGTTTATGACAAATTAGAATTGAACGGTGCTACGCACTTGGAATTTCCTTTGGAGTGAAGTTAACTTCCTAGCTGTTGACATGCCTTCTGATTTCAAAGAGTAGTCTTACTTTCAGGTGAAGATATATTGGCTTATCCATTGTTTTAAAGCCTTTGCACGTTAGTATTCCAAGTATTTAACTAGAATACTTACGTTCCCATTGTTCTTTGCTGCTGTTTCTTCTACTTCCTCCCTCCCTCTGTTGTCCCTCTTGAAATAAAAGCAAAAATACACACAGCCTCCCAGCGACACAACCAGAACATTATTTGGAAGGCTGAAATAACTGTTGTCAAGAAAATACTCGGCACTGGCTTTTGCCAAGCTATGTATTCACTGTTCATGTATTTTTCTGGAATTTTTGAATATGAGGGAGGCTCTAATGCTTATTGTGTGTTTATTTTACACATTGAATGGTTTATATATATATTTTTTTTTTTCCAAATCGTAGGTCGACTGTACCCAGCATTATGAGGTCTGCTCTGAAAATCAAGTTCGTGGCTATCCTACACTCCTCTGGTTTAGGAATGGTGAAAAGGTGAGTCTGCAAGCTCAGACTGTTTTTTCCTGAATAATACATGGACTATGCTTGGATCCTGGGAAAAAAGGTCAAGTGGTTGTATATGAGAGACCACTTGTGACACAAAAGATGTTGCAGGTTCAAACCAGTACTAGAAGAGATATACTTGATCCACAGGTAAAAGTTAGAACGTTTTGCTCAGTGTTCTCTGCAAACAACTGAGCGGTGTTCATAAATCTGAAAGAAAGCACTATCCTGAAGTTTGCTAATGTGAGAGGAATTCTCTGTTTATCTTAAGACTCTACCTCCTGTAGAACACTAGATGAAATAGAAGTAATAAAAATATATTCAATTTTCATAATCTGTATCAAAGGGTTCTTATCTGTAAGTGATGCCAATCTGATGAGTGATGTCTGAGAATGGACATTTTCCTTTATAGAAATCTTCATGCAGACTCTGTGAGTGAGGGTCTTGTGCACCCAGCTGATGTTTCCCTGTAGAAATTCAGAGATGCCATGTTCTGAAGTCTGGGGAAAGTAAAATATTTATATACTGCATATTTTAATGCTGCATACGTGAACAGTAGCAAACATACTGTGAGTCGTAGTGTTGCTTATCATGTGTAACTGAAAGAGAGCTCGAATTGGATAAAATGGCACATCCAAGGTTAGAAGCATTTTCAGTTAGCAAGAATTCAGTCTGTTCATGGATTTAGTTTGAAGAACAGGAAATGTTCTGCTGTTGCTCCAGCATGATTTTCCAACTGCTTTATTTTTATTTTTAACATGGCTACAAAGGGCAGGATAACTTGCCAGAACTGTAATGGCTCAGCGTTGAAAAGTTAGCTGTGTTTTTTCTCAAAAGCCAGACTTTTTTTTTTCATAATTATTGAAGTTTAAGTTGCAGTGAATAAAGGGTGCAGTGAAAGAACTCAGATCACTGCTATTGTATTTGGCTAATATGAATCTCAGCCGTTTGTCTGAACAATGTATTTCTCTTGACGTTAAACTGGCCTGTCTCCACTGGCAGTGTTGGTATTCCCTGGTGACTTTCTGCCATCATGATCACGTTTGTTTATGGGCTGATACGATATATTTAAATGTAAAAAAAACCCCACAAAAACAGCAACTTTCCAATAATGTAACACAGAGATTCCTGGAAGTCCTTCTAGCCACTATTGTACTGTTCAGTAATATGGGGGAAGAGGAGGGCTGCTGGTTCAGCCATCCAGCATTGTTGTCCGTAATGCTGTCACCCATTCTGTCATAACTGACTGGCATCACAACACCCTCATTGGTTAGATTGAGGTAGCAGAAGCCCTGTGAGGAATGAATGTGGATTGACCCTGTCCTGCTATAATGGATATGAACAAGAAGGTAGCACAGTGAGCTGGTGGGTAGGGCATTTCAGCAGTGGCAGCAGTGCCAGTGGGTCACCACTGCTGGTGCAGATTTTTCTGAGCACGGCATGCAGGCTCTTGTTCATCGCTGGTGAAAATGCAGAGCTAATGGTCTTTGTTTTGAAACTGGGAATTTGCTGTATCAAATGGTACTATTGTGCTCTTTGTAGCTGTTATCATTTCCGTGGGAATAAATAGGAGGCATTACTTTTGGAACGACCTACACCTGTGTTAGATTAACTACACTCACACAAGCTATTTGATAATTGTAGGGTGACCAGTACAAAGGGAAGAGGGACTTTGATTCCTTGAAGGAGTATGTGGATTCCCAACTACAGAGCTCTGGGAAAGAACCACCAGCAAGTAAACCCACAGAAGCCCCACAGCCACCTGCAGAACCCACCCAGGCTGAGGTAAGTGCTCCTGCACTCTGCTACTGTATTAACAGAGTTTCTGCAGCCTGTCCAAGTTTTCCATGTGTTTTTCTCTCTGTTAGACCCACAGTTTCTAGATGTGAGCTGGGCCAAGTATTTTCTTAATTTTCTTTTCAGCAATTAGTGAGGGGAATCCAGCCGTAAATCTTACTGATACTTTTACTAACCTGAGTTACAGAATGTAATGAACAACTACCTCCTTTTATTTTAATGGTTGCAGTAAGTGATTTAGACAGTGTTGTAAGTGTGGTCTTTTTTTGGTGTGCTGAACTGCTGGCACCTCCATATGTGTGACAGCATGCTTTGTTGCTAGGGAGATGAATGTCACTTGCAAGATTCTCACTTGAACCCAAGGAAAAGGCATACAGTGCTGAGCCACTTGAAAAAAAGCCAGATCTCCATTCTTACAGACTCTCTGCAGAAACAGCAAACAGGCAAAGACGATGAAGATTGATCTAAATGTCTCAGGGCAGTGTGCACTGTGGCAATAAAACTCCTTGGGTTCTGAGGCTTATTTTAATCCTGCTTGTAGCAACTGGAGGGTTTATGAATATTGCCAAGGACTGTCAGGAATAACTTCATCATCTTTGCATAGCTGTGCTTCATGTCATGTAACTCTGTCTTTTTTCATCACTTCTGCATTTCATCTGCCATTTTTCTTACAGCTGAATATCAAATTGGTCTGGTAGAATAATTAGGGATAATTTTTAAGCGTTCTGTTTTATCAAATATGGAAAACACAATTCTGCCCAGAAAGTAAGGGATGGTGATTTACAGTCCTTTGTGATGTACATTATACTTACATAATATAAATATTTACATAATTAAAAATATTTATATTATTAATATATTTATATTTTATATATTTATATATTTATATATATAGCTGCTTATATGCAGCTTCTCACAAGAGAATATTACCTTTCCTATTTGGCTTCTTCCAGTTGGGTTGCTCATCTTGTGTAAGGTGGCTTCCAGATAGTGATATTAAGAGATGCAGTTTTCATCTTTCTCAACTTTTTAAATTGACCTCATATTTGGAAGGTATTAACAAGCTGGTGTTAGTGCAATGCAGGAAGTAATTAGTCTTCACTCTCTATTGTTAGAGAAATAACATAAACTATGTATGATGCAAATTCCCACTTACACCTTGACTGCACCACTGCACATGCAAAAGGGAAAAGACTGTGGGGAGGCAGGTTTGTTTTTTGTTTTTTTTTTTTTCCTAAATAATAGTAGATACAGTGTAGTACTAAACTTTTTTTCTTTGCAACTTTACATCTCAACTCAGTATTGCCACAACTGCTTGGTTGTTCACCTTCAAACACCTTGGTTCTGGATTTCGTCTCATGAGTCTACAGGATTCTAGCCCATGTAGCCAGGAAGCACTGACTGTGATTAGCAGCCACAGCTGGTACCTCAGGCAGCAAAAGCCATGAGTTCTGACTCCAAATCTGTGTTCCAATGTTGTGTTCCAACCCTGTGTGAGTTCTTATCTTACATGGACGTACTGCATGTCAGTCATTTCACAAAAGCTGAACTTTTATATCTGTCAGGCTTCAGAGCAGCCACACTTACCCAAAGTACTCAAAAATGATCCAGATGTGTTAAGGCAGAGTGACCAACACAAGATGCTGTCACTGTCTGCGTTCAAGTCTCTTTTTGGCTTCTCTTCATAGAACTTCCACTGCAGAATTGATAATCCTGGCAGCTGCGCTCTTGTGTTTGTTTTGCTTTCATTTGAATTTGAAACCTTTATAGGCACAAGATTCACTCATTTATTTATTTTGAATCCCTCCCATCTGTAAAGGTGTCACACAAAAATCCAGTTAGTTATGGTTCTGTGCTCTCATACAATGTGTGAGGCTGCCTTTAAGCACTGTGCAGTCCTCCCTTCTCTCCTGTGCCATTGCTTCTGATGTTATCAGGAGGAAAAATTCTTCATGGCGTCCGTGTGAGTGTGGTGTGGTGATGTTCTCCTGGCAGCCAGATACGTGTTTCTGCTAACAGCTTTCTCTGTGTCTGCAACACAGGGATATAGCAGAGGGAGATCAGCTGTCAAGACAACTCTAGTATGCCATAAGTTCCTCATGGAACAAACTCTCCATCAGCCATCACAGGTTTTATGCCAACTGCTCTCATCATTGCTCTTGAAATGCTTGCATGACAGCGTATTGAAGGGAAGGTGATTTTTTTTTTGAGCATATATAAGTTTGCCTGTTAGTAAAGTCCCCTGAAAACGGGCATGTTTTATTTCTTCAGATATGGATCTCTCTAAGGATGGAAAGTAGCTAAGGGGTAAATGTGAAGTATATTGCTTTTAATCTTGTTCATACCATCAGTAATGCTGTCTTTCCCAGTTTGAGTTTCCCTCTCAGGTAGCTAAATGCTCATTTGGCCAGTGTTAAACATACAACAATGATTTTACTTTCCTTTTTTAGCAGGCTACAGTGCTTTCTCTCTCTGAAAAAGACTTTGATGAAACCATTGCTAGGGGAATCACCTTTATTAAATTCTATGCTCCATGGTAAGTAATTTGTATCTCCTTTTCAGAGTTATTATTTTAATTTGTGCATTAGTTGTTGTAGGCCTTTGAGTTCCTCTGCAGTACTGCATTTGTTGCCTAGATCCGAAGTGCAAATTAACTGAAAAATGAGTGTGTTGGCAAGAGTTGCAGCCAAAAATTGGGTCTCTTCTAGCTTTCCTGGGATTCCTCTCTGTGGAAAGGCTGATAGAGAGGCTTTACCATGTTAACCTGCAGCTAATGTCAGGTAACAAGGAGAGAAAAGCTTTCTTCACAGGCTTAGCATGCTCCTATGCCTTGATTAGGGTAAGCTGAAGGAAGGCTATCGGCAGTGCTGGTTGAGAAAGGAGAACGTGCCAGCATTGGGATCTCTGTGCCACAACCAGTTTCTCTGGGAAGCATTACTTGAGCACCTGAAAATTGGTACAGACTGTGGAGCTTTGGATAATGGGCTGTCACTCTTCAAATATCTGTTTAAAAAACTAATTGGCACAAGTGGTGACTTTAACACTTTATTAAATGCTCTGTGTAATATATTCTTACAGCAACCTGTGGTAGAAATGATTGATGCAGATGGTGTAGGCGCACACTGAGATGAAAGCATTGGGGAAAAAAAGTAATGATGTCCTTCTTATCTGGCCTCTGCCATTTCTGGCATGGCCAGCACAGCCTAGCATTCAAGCTGGGATAAGACCCTAGTAGTACAAAAGCACAGAATATTTTCCTTTCTGAGACTGAAACAGTTATTCAAGTTTGTCTCTCTGGTTTTTGGACTTCATCCTATATATGTCTGATGGAATTTCACGAAATTTGTTTGCTGTCTTTCTCATCCATTTCCTGGATGAAGAAGAAACCTAGTGTGGGAGGACAGAAGAAAATTACGTTGAATGTCACTGTGAAAGATAATGCATCTCTGATTTGAGACCTGCCATCCCACGAGGGATGTAGAAAGATCTTTTATTTGTGGCGGTAGATCATAACTATTGCAAAGCAACACAGGTAAATGCAACCTATTTCAAGATGCACTCAGGAGTATCAAAATATTGCCTCTTAACTTTGCCAGTAGGTGTGACTCCGTTTCTGATTGTGAGAAAGAAGTACTAGGAAAACTTGCACTTCTGTATAGTCTAAATGATGCCGTTTTTTCCAGTGTTGTCACTCTTTTTACTGCAGTGTGATTTGCTGCCTGTTCTATGTCTAGATCTGCTTTTGGATGTGGGAATGTATCTGACACCACTGTGTTAAGAAACAGCCCCCACTCCACACACCTTCACGTTTGCTCTGTTTACTGCTCTCTCTTCACTTTATCCTTTCTGTGCACTGTGGGAGACTGAGATAGATTCTGTGCCCATTCTGCTGTGCCACCAGCAGAACTCATTGTTAAATTCAGTATTCAGTTGACACCTGTGCACAAAGCAGAAAGATTCTAGTTGGAACCCAGAGCTTGTTGGCAGATGTGGGAGTTGGCCATCTGAGAGTCATATGGAAAAATCACAGATAACTAAAAACAACTGAGAATTTATATTTACATTTTCCTAATAGCGTGGCAATTTAGCCAACTTGTTGTGATAATCTGCTGGGGTGTTGCTGGAAAAAATCATGTTCTTAATCAGTATGCTCTCCCTGGCTGTAAAGTTCAGGAAGCCACCATTTAGGAAAATACTGCTTATATTTATGTAGCTGATATCCAGTTTTAGCTCTCAAAGTCATGCTTATGTATACAGTTACAGTGCACTGCCTATAAATCACCTTTTTCTCTTCCAAGTGAATTAACTTTCACTGGGCTCAGCAAACACTATTATATTGCTTGCTAGTTCTGTACTTCAGTTAGTTTTGGATAAATATTCCTGCTAACTTGCATGATAAGCATAAAAACTGTCCTGTTTCTGTTAGATTTTGTGCATAGTCAAAAAAGCTTTTATAGTGTTGTACCTTAACAAGGTGGTTTAAACATATGTAGGCTTCTGTTAAGTGAACTTTAGCAGAGATATCTTTCATTGTTTTTGTGAATGCCCTGATCTAGCTTCAGGGCAATTAAAGGGCTGTTCTAATTACCTAGTTAAGGTGCAGCTGGTTAGAATAGAATGAGCACCGACTTAAAGTCTGAAGCACTTTGGAAGTTCTTCTTGAAAGCAATAAGAAGTTCAAGTTACTAACTTGGCCAAGCCCTGTTCAAACTATCAACAACATTAATACTTGGTTCTAATTCCTGCCATTTTACAACATCGTTTTCTCTTCTGACGCTAGTCCTTCAGTGTGTACCCTGTGGAAAAGTGCATTCAACTACCAGTGTGTATCTCAAACAGAGAATCTGTGCTGAGAAATGTGTCTATTAAAATTGAATTTCCAGCACCGGGAGTTGCTACTTTACTGAAGGAGGCAATTAGGAACTGGAGGAAATTCAGTAGGGAAATCAAAATCTCATTTAGGTAATTAAACTCAGGCCATTTAAACTAACCATAAATGGCATGTACTACCTGATGAACTATTATTAATTAATTCACTGTTTGAAAAGCTTAATTAGTGGTGCAAACATTCTATATCTTATTCAAAACACGTTCATATCTATGTGTCTGTGGTTTTTTGTTTAAAAATTCTCTTATTTGGTTTTGTTTTCCTCTGTGAAGTGCTGACAACCAGAATACCATTCCAGAAGAAGAGAGTGAAGACTACCTCAGTGCTGTGCTTAGAGGATATCGTTCACTTCTATTTCTTTAGCTCATTTGACTGACATAACAGTGCAAGGGAGTTGGAGGCCTAAATCATTAGGGGATGGGAAAGGCAGCTTGTTAAACTTGCAGATATTGCAGTTAGACAGAGATAAATGGGAAGGTGTATCTGCTAAACAAATCTCTTTCTTTGTTTCTAGGTGTGGTCACTGTAAGAACTTGGCTCCGACTTGGGAGAGCCTTGCCAAAGAGCAATTTCCAGGTTTGACTGATGTCAAAATAGCAGAAGTAGACTGCACTGTAGAACGTAATGTCTGCAACAGATTTTCTGTAAGTGTGAAAGAGCTGTAATGAACTGGATAGTATTGTGTACCAAAGCTAGAAGCTCCAGCATGCAGCCCAGCTGGCTGCTGTGTTGTGGGTGCCTGGTGACGGCACAACCGTGTTCTCCGTTAGCAAAAGCAAACAGAAATGTAGCCCAGAAATGCACCTGACGGCACGGCTTCTTTCACTGATAGTTTGCTCAGACTTGGTCATTCTCACTACTGGAAAAAGGTGAAGGAATTCCTGCTTTGAGAGCCAGCAGCCTTCTGAAACCACCAGTCTTGTGGTATAGCCACTGAAATGTTCTCTTCCTAGAAAATAAAGGTTGGCTTGTGGATCTGGTGGCCACACAATGGAAGATAAAGCTGGCCTTCAAGTTGCTGATGGAAGAGCCTAGAGTACCATGTATTTTCCCACTTAACAATTTTTAGAAATTGCAGGTTGGCAGTGAAAGTTCTGGTGCTTTTTTGTTGTGTGGTTGTTTGTTTTTTTTATCTTTAATTAAATCAATTTGTTTATTTAGAGTGGTTTGGTAGCTTTTCAGAGTCAGATAAATACCAGTGAGTCTGGAAATCAGTAACAAGTTTCATTTGTGTGTCTTTTGAAGGTACGTGGATATCCTACGCTTCTGCTCTTCCGAGGTGGAAAGAAAGTCAGTGAACACAACGGAACGAGAGATCTGGAATCACTGCATAGCTTTGTTTTGCGTCAGGCAAGGGATGAGTTGTAATAAAAGTCTCAATGCTCTGTCCCTGGCTGTCTCTGTACGGTAGTTGAGGGATTTAAGGCATTGCTAATTTTCAAATAGTATGTTGGGGGGTGGGGTGGGAATTGGGGCTTTTTTGTTTGTTGGTTTGTTTTTAGGAAATGGAATGTACTGAACATTGGTATCTTCCCTCTGTGTGTGTGTTAAAGGCAAGTTACCCTACTTGTGAAGGAGAACTGACAAGTAGTTATATGCAAACGGAGAGTATTTTCAGTATTAGTAGCATTGCTACATTTCTGCATTCCCGCAGTGAAGTGTAAATGGTTTCCATTGAGACTAAAATACATTAAGAAAACCAAATTAAGGGCACCAGCAGAATGTTTTTGTCCTCAGGTTAGATTTGGTTAAAAAAAGTAATCCTTCCAAACTGCACACTATTGCTAGAAAGCTGAAAGCTGCAGCTGTGTGAAATAACTACTGCCTCTACAATGGTACTTCCAACCTGTTTGTCTTAATATGGCTGCTGGGTAAGAAATGAAAAGTCACAGGAGGCTGAAAACACACATTTGGAAGATACCAGGCCACCACGAGCTGTTTCCTCTTAATCCTCTCTGCATGGGAGGTCAGCCATAATGAAAGCAATGGTACTGTAACATGTGCCTGAACATTACTGATGCCATAGTGTACGTGTCAGGTGGATGTTTTTTTGTTGTAGACTGCTTTTTAGCTCCAGAGGAGTAACTATGCTCTATTTATATAGAGTCAAAGCAAACTGGCTCTATTATAGCTACTTCGTTAATATTAAATGATCGGTTAGACCTCACAGCTGATTACATGCATTTCCTACCTTCACCTTTGTGTTGACCTGCTCTTTAGTCAGAGCACTTGGAGAACAAGTAGTACAATATAAGTAATTTTTCTGCTCTGTTTGACAGTCGTCTAAAACAGTTCCCCACTCTTCTTGAGCCTTAACCTTTTTTCCAGGTGTAAGTGTTGCTAAGTTTGAATGTTAGGCCCATGCCCTCCCTGTTGCCTTGGATTATGATATGGATCTGTTCTTTGGTGCATAAGATGCTCCAGGTTTGACAGTTGAAAGCCAAAGAATTACACTGCAGGTACTGTCAGAGTACAATGACAGCAGCAAACCAAGGACTGAATTCTGCCATCCCGTGTGTGCACAGAAACTCATGGAATGAATGTGACAAACTACAGGCTAATTTGACTAATCTGTCAAAATTCTGATCTTATCCATCATATGGAGTAGGTTTGTTTTCATTAAAAAAAAAAGTAAAACAGTAATGAACTTTAAAATCAGTGGATAGCTCGTGGTACTTCACTGTCTGTCAAGAACCTTTTGGTTCTGTTCAATTTAAAAATGTGCAAAGGTGAAAAATCCACAATGGAAGCTAAGTGTTGTATGGCAGATGTGTTAGATCAATGTACATACTTCTGCCTTAAAGAAAGCCTTTATTATCATGTTTTTAACAACTTTCTAGTGAAGCACAATCTCATGAGTTTCTTGTATAAAATCGAAGTGATACAATTGTTTACACTGAGATTTTTCTAAATAAAAACTTTTTTAAAAAGCAGTCTTTCTATAAATGATACAGCACAATGAATATACAGTGAAAAGTGCAATAAATTATAGCTTGTATTTACAAGAAGCCTTTTAAATGCAAGAATCAAGAGGTAAGTGCATTTAATACAAGTTTAATATTGATCAAAACAATTTGCTGTTAGCTTCTGCTAGACAAACCGTGGCTACCGTGTGAATGCATCCTTTATACCAGTTTGTTAGTTGCATGAGTTGAAGGGGAAGAGTTGGCCAAATATTTGAATAAGTCAGTTGCTGACATTTTGTCTTCCTGTAAATAAATTGTCCAACTAGAGAATGAATGGCCCCTAAACTTTTACGTCTGACTTACAGCTGGAGAAGTGTCCAGACTTCCTTCCTGGGCAAGTGGTAGTAAGATGAGGCAGCTCCACTCAGGGAGTGGAAGGAAGTCATGTAAGAACAAATATGTGAAGTTACCCTACTCACAGTCAAACCCTGATCAGGAAAGATCAGCCACGATCTTAAGTTCATGCTAGTATTTCTAACACAGGATGCAGCCAAGCCATCTTACTCTCTCAGCATCAGATTTAAACTGTGCTCAGAGACCAAGGTACCCAAAAGATTTGCTTTGGCACAATGCATGCTATCATGATAGGTTTCAGAGAAGACTAACAGGAGAGGTGTAACAGCTGGTCCTTATAGACAAAAGGCAATTCCTACCCTTAGGAATTTCGTATTACTATTGTACACATGGTATATACTAAGTCAGATGTAGTAACAATGCTCTTTAGCGACCCTCTCCCCTCAAAAGACTCACTGGTTTTGGGTGTTGGATGTCCATCTGCTTAAACTGTAGCACACATCCAAGCAACTGATAAGGCCAAGCTGCTAGATGAGATTAAGACCATCCCAGCCAATAAGCACGTGTGCAGGCATATTGCTGCTTTGCGAGCTCCAGTTGCAGAGCTGAGCAGCCACTGCAGCTTAGGGTCGCATTTGAAGAATTCCAGCTCTTTGCTCACACCACACCATGTGGTTCCACAAGCCCTTTCCTCGCACAAGGCACATAAATGGTGTTTTGAAAGGTGATTCATCAACTTTTTTCTCCCCACTGTCAGGTAGTTCGTAAAATTATGGAAGGTAGTTCATGGTAGAATCACAGAGTCCACATGAAGACTGTTTGTCAGTGACATCCACAGGCTCTTACTACCATATTCCTGTATTTCTTCAAGATTACATTAGAATTATCATCGAAATAAAGAACTGATATGGCGTTTAGTTTGGTAGGTGCACAGCATGGTTTGGGAACGTAATCAGGATTCATAAGATGAACCTGTTGTCGAAAAGAGAACATAATTGATACGATGGTAACTCACTTCCAAACTCACCTATGGCTTTAGCACAGGTCTTTCTGGAGACTTACCAGAGTTTGTACGATGGCGTGGTTGGTTGCGTTCATGTGTGCGTTGAGAGGAAAGGAGCACTCCCCATCACAGTAGTTGGCTGCGTAGCCCTTTGGAGCGATTATCCAGTCCTTTTTTAGGAAACAAACGGAACGTGATTTTAATTAAAAAGTTGCCAGCTTCTAGAGACAACTGCACCCAATTAAGGCCAGCTGAAAATTTTCCACTTTTTCTTCAGGGGGAAAATGTGTTTTCACTGAAGGTTTTTGTTGTTTCTTTTTTTTTTGTAAGCTGTGACTTTTCCATGGACACTGATGTTCGTGTCCAAAGAATGGTGCATTGCTATGCGCTTCGCTGCCACAAATGAAAACAGTTTTATTTCCAAAACTGCTGCTGTGGCACTTTGTGAGGATTGTGGTTTGGATGCCTTTATGCTCCATGTTTCCTGCAGGTTAGGTCCTCTGGCTGAACTACAGCTAGGGCCACTGGAGGAAGTTTCATCTGTCTAAATTCTCTACATGTGGGGAAGAGTGGCCTCCTTGAGCTGCAGGTGGCAAGGCTTTCCCAGCAAGGAACACAATGCCATGGGAAAAAAAAAAAGTGATGTTTCCCCATAGGGATAACACCAAGAAAATTACAGCTTTTCTCCTGCTGCTACAAATGAGCCAAAAGCAAATTAAAACCAAAAAACGGTCCTTGTGTTAACAGTGCAGAAAGGTGTTTTTAAAGAGTCATCATCGCCAGTTATCAGGAGACACTTCTCCCTTGGCATCAGGTGTCAGCACACATCTGGGTTAGCATGAATTTTGCCACAGCAGTAACTAAACAGCCAGCAACTGTTGCCACAGCTTTTTAACTAAGCTTGTGGTGCGATTGCTGACACAAGGATTCCTGGGCACACCAAAACTACATTTGACATACTCATTCAGCTGTAATTTTGCTCCTGGTTAAGCAAGCTGCTCTTTGTAAAGCAGGCACTCTCCTGATACACAGGCAAGCGCTGATAATGTGAATACATTTGTGGTTTAGTGCTGTATAAAGGAAGCACTGCAAAGGGTGTGGAGGGGCAAGGTTTTGCAAGCTCTGCACACAAAAAGGTGCTGAATTTAAAAAAAGGACATTGACTGAAATGTGACATTTAATGCACTAGAGTCTAAAGATCTTGCCTGAGACATCCCATAACCTTGCAGTGTTGCAACTAAAACCAATCTTTGGTCTACCCATGCAGCCAGTGCTAACTCCTGGGGGCACCAGTTAGGGATTTTAACATAAGGGCAAGGTTAATATTGGGTTGATGACTAGAAAGACTTGATTTTGTTAAAACTGGTACTTAACCCATTTGTTTTTCCTTATCATTAGAGGTATGCAGATACAAGTCCTTGTCGTGACTCCCATGAGTGACAGAGGATGGCTGTATATTTGTATCTCATAAAATATCACGCTTCCTCTGGATTTTGTCAAATGTCACAACTATCAATATTTATTTGCCCTTCCCCGTGGCTGGTTTTAGCAGGGAGGCACAAGGGACATCTTAAAGCATAATGGCAACCTTGAGTGGAATTACCATGACACTGTTTAGCTAACATTTCATAACAAAATGTCTAGTTTATCCAGTGAGAAACATCACACACCTGCCATCCCAAGTCTTGGAAGCTAACGTAAAGTTCATGCTTTCTGCATGCTGTTTTTAAGTCACTGCTGTTGTAATCTGTTAGGATAAAAAAGAACAAAACAGGAATTTAGAAAGTTAAAGAGGCAGAGCATCACTGGAGCACACAGCTGGACAGATGTGTGCACTGCAGAGACTCTTCTTTGGACAGCCAAAGCAGGACCGAGATTTTCAAGATACCTATGGGAATGGTGGCACCCAAGTAACAGTGACTGGCTTAGAACTCCTTCATCCTCCCTTAAAAACCTGATGAGCAGTGCTCGTAAAACACCTCCACTAAAATCATTTCTTCAAAATAAATCCCTGCTCCATCCCCCAGCATGTGCCACATCTCTGGTGCCGCTCATATGCACATTTCCCCAGGGTACACTCACAACCCACACAGTTCCTGTGGGCATCACAAGTCCTCGGAGGTTCC